CATACTGCCTCCGTCATCAGGGCGATGAAACATCGACCAGACTACACAGCGCAACAACCGAGAAGACAGAAATCTTCAAGGAATTTAATGTTGAGATAATGAGGCTGGAACTTGAACAGTAAATATATCATAAAGAAACATTAAATGACAAGTCCATTATACTTTCCAAACATTCATTACACTTTGACAGGATATTGTGACGTGTTGCTGTGACAGCAGCATAACAATGTCAATAAACAGTTTAGTTGTCTGTTTATTGACATTTTCGCGTCTGGCATTGTTGTCTGTTTATTAACATTATTGGGTTTGGCATTGTTGTAATCGTTTATAGACATTGTTGTATTTGGCATTGTCGTATTCGGCATTGTTGTGTCTATAGACAGATGGAAAGGGAGAGTGTTGAAGAGTGGTTTGGAAAGGGAGTGTGGAAAGAACAGAGCTGTGAATCGGGCGTAAGAGAAGTGTGCCGTGAGAGCCGAGAGAGTGGAGCGAACGAGAGGTCTGGTGTGGCGCTGAGAAAGGACGGGTCGGCTACATGTGAGGCACCGGGTACATGGACCGTGGCGGCCGAGGAGCCAGCATGTGTCCAGTGGGGTGCTACGGGCCGACGCTGAGTAAGGACAGGTCGGCTGCGTGAGCAGGCACCGGGTATGTGGACTGTGGTGGCCAAGGAGCCAGCGTGTGTCCAGTGGGGTGCTACAGGCCGATGTGTAAGCGAAGAGTGTGAACAGCGCCGAACTCGAGGGACCAGATAGACTCGGAGGACAGTGTGTGTGTGTGTGCAGAGAACAGAGACACGAAGGGTGTTGTTGTTGTTGTTGTAGAGAGATGACTGTATGTGCAGACCTCTGTAACTGATTTAATTTTACATGAATAAATCAGGGTTGACAATCAGGGTAGTAAAACCGCCCCACGTTACAATATTATAATTCCATCTTCACACGCTAAGACAGGAATATATGAATCTTCATTACAATTTTCATGTTCAATTTTAATCGTACAAGCAGTGTTCCCAACAGGATAACTTATTGTGAATCTGGCGGAAGTGCACCACTGAAAACTATGTCAATGGCAGCATGAACATCACCACCTGTCGCCTGAAGAGCTTGAATGTTGAGAGTGTCATCTGTGAGACCCAGCTCATGCATCTGTTGTAACTGATGTGATAACCTGCTTGCCTGTGCTTGAATATCAGGATTTGTATCTGTTCTACCAGTTGATGCTTCTGTTCCCTAATTAGCAAACATCAGAAAAGATTATTACAAAAATATTTTCATTGTCCATCCACGAAGACAGACAACTGATAAAGTGCCATAAGTAAACCGAGAAACAAATATTTAACAATTTTCACAGTACAAGGATTTATTAGCATAACAAATGTAGTATGCAGCAACAAAGACACGTACTGTCACTGCGACATCCCCTGATGCATGTGATCCTCCTGTATTTGGACCCACATTGGCAATCGCTTGCTGCATTGCCTGGCTAAACATCTCTGGTGTGATTAGACTCCCTCCTGATGACGGACCAGCTGCTAAAGATGTACTACAGCCAGTGGCACGAGGTGAAGCAGGAAACAAGCCTGATGACAATAATATTCTGTATTTATAAGGAAAATTAGAGAAATTTGCGATTACAATTTGGGTTCCACAAGTGGGAATTTCTTGCTCACTTAATAATTATTTTCATCTGCACAAAGAAGACACTAAACCATAGGATTAGTTACTTAGTTACGGTGGAGAATGTAATTTTACTTTTAGACGAGTCTCACCAGTAGCAGAAGCTAAAGCAGCAGCAAGCTGAGCTGCAGTGATGGTTGAGTATGACTGCTGTCGTGACAGACTGTCACCTCCACGGGGCTGAGAGTCAGAGGACTGCAAATATACAACCCCACAAATATATAAGTGCTTTTGACCTCTCTGAAGGTGGTTAACTAAACCCTACAATACTGACAGTAAACCACAACACAAAAATTAAACTCTTCTAAGACTGAATACCTGGGAGGAATCCATCTCTTCTTCATCACTAAGGGCATCTAGTGAATATGAATACCCTGAAGATGATCCTTGATTGGTTGCACTTCCTGTTGCAGCTTCTTCATGAACAACAGCTGCTATATGATTAGCTGCTTCAGCTAGGGATGGGTGGAGTTCGGCAATCCTGAAAATATTGCAGTATTCTGTCTTGTATGCCAACATGTCACCAGTCTGAGCATACCCCATATTAATAACTGATTACGTTATAATATTAATCCTTTGAAGCCAAAATTGACCTCGATACGTTTATTTCATAAAAATGTAAATCCAGAAAGACAGCCCAAAAGACACAACAATTTTTTCAAGTTACGTTTTATGACGTGTACTAAACCAGTGACATAACTCAATGTTATCTGAAACCTGACAGTCTCACAAAGAAAGGAAAAAGATAAAAGAATAACAATATGTAGTTATTTATGAATTTTAAAAAATTGTTCTGTTAATCTTGAAACTTTCATAGTGACTGAAAATGACAAAAACTATTCAGGCATCAGCTGCATCTTTTCAGAGAGAAGTCCTCTGTTTTTGATGCCTTCTTTGTTTCTATCATCAGAAAATTATCATTTGGCAAAACTGAAGTGGTTCAATATATATATTTCCTTGTTAATGGAGCCAGAGGTTTCTAAAATTAACTTCTGCCTGTAATTAACATAGCTGACCATCCCTGATGATTTTATCAAACCTGTCCTATCTATACTTTTATACAGAAATATTTCTGCCAGTATTCCTATGGCAAAAAATTAATAAATGATAGATGATTTTGGTATGTGTAGTATCAGATAAATATGGTACTTACAGAATACCTCCCTCAAATCTGAAGATACATTATGCTCTGGAGATAAGGGGCCCAACAAATTCAGAAGAAGTGTATGCAATAAGAGGTAATGACACAAGTGACCGGAGTTAAAGATCCCCAAATATGCATAGCAGGCAATTAAATTGTAATAATATTATCAATATCATATTCATCTTCATACATTACATTGCACAGCTTTACAATTTAACCATGAAACCTTGTAAAAAGCTTTTTCTAATAACTTACCTTCTTACAGTGTCTGCATTTTCCATATGAACAAGCAATTCTGGATCTTGAATAATTGAGATTGCAACTGGATCTTCACTAAGTCCAGGTGTAGCCATCATAATATTTTCTAAAACTTCTGGCCGGCTGAGACGCTAAAAAAACAATTTCTTTATACCCTTGAACTAAGATTAGGGAAAATAAAGATGTGGTACTGAATTCTAATCCAAAATTCAATACATTATGCACTGCTGAATCATTCAAGGGTTTTTTGTTGCACTGACACAAAGTTAAATACCTCTTATAAACTTGAAATGTGGCTTAGGAACTGATGAAATAACTCACATGCAGAGCACTCCGGTAACTAGGGTGCCGCGTAAATGTGCGAAATGCCATCACTAATTCTTGAACACCAACTTCTGTCACTGAGTGAACAGGCAAAGAAATGTCTACAAGTAAAGAAGCACAGTATTAGTTATAACTTCAAAATGAACTGAAGAAAATCAAAATGATTTAGCCCTATAAAGCCAAAGTTTCTTTATAATATATAACAATTCAGTCTGTACAACAAAGAAAACACAACACTTCACCATTACAAATATCAACTGGTTAATGCTGTTTAGGAAATAATCACTATTTACAATGAGAATAATAAAAGATCCATAAATACAAAAAGTAGTGTTACTGATAGTAAAAGCAGGTGGTACATATAGTTGCCACTGGGGTTTAAAGGGATAATCAATCTGACTTCTATTACTGTGATTTAGGTTTTATGTTAATTTAGTACAATAAATCCCAAGTATTCAAGCATTCAGATTCTCCCATATAATTTACATATATAGGCCAATAAATACAAACCCTTCTCTCTCCTCTTCAGTACATGAACCATTACACCAGACTTCAGTCCACAAGACCTTAGTGTTGAGTCATCATCCAAAATGTTTCCACAGTAAATTAATTCTGTAAAGCAAATTATGTAAAGACTTACAAGATTACTTGGAATCACAGATACAGAAGTTGACATGGGGAAGGGGGTTTCTATACCACCCTGGAAATAAATGGATCCTTGATAAAACACTTTTTGAACTTCCCAGGTCAAGTAATGTCAAATAATAGTATGATCTTGGAATTACAAAGTAGCAGACGTTGCCTATTTAAATGTGGTATCCCAGAATTTACAAGGAGTAACTATAAATACCACAAAACCACACAATATGGTTAGATCATCTTTCAAATAACCCCTGTCATGACATGGGATAACGTTAAAAATTAATTTTAATGTACATGTATAATTTATCTAAATTTACCTATAAAATGCCTTGGCAAATTTGTTGCCTTTGAAGCTTCCAATTTTAATTGCTCAACTTTACTGTCTAAACTAATGTTGCCTACTGTCACTCGCTGAAAAGAATTTGGTGATAATCGAATGCCAAATACAATGTTTACAGCCATTTCTTACAACACAGTTAACACAATGACAATGTAGTGCACGCACGTTTAAAGGCGATGTTGGTGTGACTGTATGAAGAGTTGGTCAATACTATTGCCATCTATAAACGAAAATATATTTCTTTCACAAGTAGCTCAAATACGATATGTGTATTCATGACCATGGTTTACCCACGTAGGTTCATTAAGGAAAGTGAGCCCTTCCCAGATATTACATTCCATGGATCCATAAGATAGTCAGATGACAATAGAATGTGGAAAAAGTCATAATAATATAATACAATACATATTATATGTGAGATGTGTCTGTTTATTTATAGGTATGAAAGTGGACATTGTAGAATATTAATCCGAATTCTGTTACGTTGGTTATAAATTTTGAGTTTCAGCGATGACAAATTTAAGGCAATAGAATACGCATACTATTAGCGCCGGAACCATAATTGTGACAGAACTCGGTACTTCGAGTTAAAATTGTATAAATATTATCTTTTGTATACACGTAAAAATGGCTGAGGTAAGAGTTGAGCTGTAATGAAACAGTTAGTATTTATCTAGTTCATCTGCAGTGATCTTTTAATATAAAATATAGCTCTATGGCCATAAGTTAAAGATGTGAACTTGAAAACATTATTAGAAGTATGGATTTTCGTAAACGTCTGCATACATTCTATTGCAAGTCTACATGTGACCTATTCTGTAAAAACAATCGGTAAATTGTATTATTTTGAAATTTCAGCAAGAAGAAACACAGAAGAAGAAAAGGACCTTCAGGAAGTTCACCTTTCGTGGAGTGGACTTAGATCAGCTGTTGGACATGCCAGCGTAAGTAGAAGAGGTGAAAAAATTGTTGGTTTGTGTGACTAAATTTTTAATTTCTTTCCCCCTAACGCAAGTGGAGAGGATAATTATTTTGTAGCATATTATAAATACTATTCATTGATTAAAATGTATTTATTATACGGATAGTTGCCTAAAATCTTAACCATGTGGTAAGCAGCATTTAAGAAATATTGGCATCTTTTGGGCTTCACTTTGAATAAAACTAGGTTTAGCATACCCAGGAATCTTAGTTATGTATCCATGTTGTAGCAGTAATTGATGAATGTGTTTGGTACTGTGAGACTCATATTTTGTTTATAGAGAACAGTTGATGGAGTTGATGCATTCACGTGCTAGACGCCGTTTCCGTAGAGGTCTTAAGCGCAAACCAATGGCACTTGTTAAGAAATTGAGGAAAGCCAAGAAGGAAGCTCCTCCCAATGAAAAACCTGAAATCGTGAAAACTCATCTGCGGAACATGATCATAGTTCCAGAGATGGTTGGGAGTATTGTTGGTGTTTATAATGGCAAGACATTCAATCAAGTAGAAGTGAAGGTAATCAAAGAAACTTATAAATTGAGGAAATGTAGGAATTATGTTTAAAATTTGGCTATTATAATTTATTAGGAAGTTGATTTGTTAAAGTGAAAATCTGCTAAAATAACAACAGTGTTTATTTAGGCAGAAAATGTCATGAATAAACACAATGCCCATTAAGTATGAATTTGCCTGATCTTCTAATTAGTACATCTTTGAGCCTACCAACGTTCACATAGCCACCACTTCACTGTATGTTGTAGTGGTCCATTATAATTGCATTATGAAATTATTCTAGAGGATTAATGGATATTGTTTTCAATAGTTGCACTTATATTTTTGTTTCAGCCAGAGATGATCGGTCACTACTTGGGTGAATTTAGTGTTACCTACAAGCCTGTAAAGCATGGTAGACCTGGTATTGGTGCTACCCACAGCTCAAGATTCATTCCTCTGAAATAAATATTTCAGGAAATAATAAAAAATTATGTAAATGTACAAATTACTCTTTTTTATTGAAGTAATATTTTCCTACCCATCCCTATATATTACTAATGTAAGGTTTTCCTAATTTAGGGTCAGAAGTGTTTTTATTTTGCATAAGTAGCATGTATCAGAGAGGGTCATGTCTGTGTGGTAATATCCAGATATTTTCCTATAGTCATGTGGTATATTAAGTTTACAATATTTCTTCAGAAAAATTGTTCAGTTTATTCCACGGTGCCTTTACAGCAACCATTATTGCACACCAAATGATTAAGACAGGTTAATGGGGACAAATTTCTTCTTGAACCTAGGATATGTAATTTTGTTGAAAGCAGAATAGAATATTTTCATAACCTAGGAATGGATGAGAATAAGTGAAAGAAAAAGGGTTTAATGAATGAGGAATCTAGTCAGATTGTTAGAATTCAGCAGATGTAGATAATGTACCTGAAGGTGTGGAGAAATAGGTTGAAACTTGACAATGAAAATTATTTCAGGATCATAAGCCTACCCCAGTAACAAAAAATGAAGTTTCTTTCTTTACTCATGAAAGGGCATTATCAGCTTTGGCATCAAAGGGTTAATTTTATAACACCTGGTAGTAGAAGGGTTATATGCAGGCTGATATAGTGGCTTATGAGACATGTTGGAACAAAATGTCAAAGGTAGAATTTATTCAATTGCAGAGAAATGAGAAAACAAAATTGCATTGCAAAATATCAGGTGGGAAAAAGAAATGGAGAAGAGGACTGGAAACACCTGAGATGGACTGGAACAGATGGTAAAGGACAACATTTACATGCCAGTAAGTTGCAAATACCTCATTGCATTCTAAGACATTTTAGATCAGATACAAGAAGTTTAAGCACCCATGGAGGAACTAACCTAAAAAACTGAACTCTGCAGGTCAGCAATAAATACAAGGGCTTCCTACCACAGCATAAGTTTTATTAAATCAGGCATGGGCCATTTGTGTTATACACCTTGTACAATAAAGTTTCATACAATTAATTTAATCCAAAGACCACTTTAATTAAGGGCCAAAATACATTCTTTGATACATCTCATAAAGTATTCAACTGACAGAAAAATATCTTCAATAAAAGTTTTAGGTATCCATAAAATGCAAATATTACATTTTATATAACATGTGCATAAGGTTAACTGTTTTTGAGGTAATCACTAATATAATGCCTAGTAAATGTCACCACCATCACCCAGCAATTGCTCTGTCATTTAACACATACTCATTCAATTTTCAGTTATTTTGAGACAAATGTACTCAGACACGTACATGTAAATTTAATACTGTATTAAAAATTGTGACATGTTTAGCTGACTGAGGAAAATGTTAATCCATTCACCTCAATTTTCATATAATAATTCAGTACGTTCATAGTAGATTAAATACTGATGTTAACATATGTTACTTTAAGTAATACTCACTGTGTCCTCTATCATAATTACATGTATTTTACCTTAACAAATTATCCATTTAATATTAAAAGTATATTTTATGCATTTGAAAACTGGTATATACAAATTCTTGACTGATTTTAATACATGATTTCATAACAACCACCAAAAACATTTTCACATCACATTCAGTAGAGTAGAGTAAGTCAAATACAAAATATTCTATGTTAAAGACTACAAAATGATGACAAGCTTACAATCTGAAAATGGTATAAGTACTTATGACTGTACGTCAATTACACCTACCTTGATTACATTTGCATGCAGGTGTTCAGTAAGTGACATAGTCTGAGAATCTTCTAGAATTATTTGAGATGGTTGTGTTGCGTCATTTTCAGTTTTTACTTCACACTCTGTACTATTTGCAATATTTTTCTGGCTGTCTTTCACAGCTGTTATTACATTACTTTTACTTTCAAGACTGTTCATAACAATCTCCCTTTTTATATTATCTGAAACATCTGTGTGTATGGTATAAAGGCCATTTTCACACTGATCTTCAGTCTCTTTTGGTTTTCTTCTTTTTATCTGCTTAAAATCCAAAAGATCATCTTTCCTTTCAATATCTTTATTGAAGCCTCTCTTCTTAGATTGCTTGCAGCATTTTCCTTCATATATTGTTCTCATAATTTTCACACTACTATCTGGAACTGTCCAATTTATAAGTGATTCATGGCCACTTTGAATTAATTTAGTTGGATCTTTCTCACTGCTGTATTCAGGAATGGGCAAATCTAACAACTTCATCAATCGCACCATTATGTCATCCACATATGAATGAATTATGAGGTCTGCTTTGCGGTCCTGTTGGATAGAATTGTGTTAGAAATTATTTAGTAAGTAATTTCAGTACCTGTTTTCTCCAAATGACAGCACAACAAAAACTAAACTGTTATTCAAAATATGAATGCCACAGTAAAAAAAACACATGAAAGGTTAACACTTGTATTCAGACACTGTTGTTCCCATACATCATATAATACTGACATGTATCAGTAATCTAACTGGTTTCCTAAAACAACATATAGAGCACTTATGTACATTATAATTGCTAAAATTAACATGAGTTAAAAAAATAATTTTTGAAAACCTAATGGCATATCCTAGAACAATGTTTAAAATAAATGGTGATAAAGCATCTTCAGTTTCTGTACTAAACTATTAAATTCATTGAATACATTAATAATATTTTAGGGGCATGAAAAGACAAATATTTATTTAATTCTTTGCACTGAATAAATTTTCATATATTAAAGTACTCCTGCTTTGAATATTTAAGCAAGTCGGATGACCCAAGGTTATTGGACATGGTATGCATTGAGATGTGACATCATGGGGTGTGAGAATATCAGCAGAATTGTACATATTCTGCACTCAGAACACTGATGGCATACTTCAAGCTCTGCCTCTTCTCTTACAACATGGCAGGCAGAGAAATATTCTTATTGGATTGTAATGGTAACACTGCCATGTGCAGAATTGCAGCTGTTATCCCAATCAACAGTTCTGACCTGACTGTCACATTATGCCATTCCATTCTGAATTAAACTACTGATTAATCTGCTCACGTCACCTGGGTCATTCATCACAGGAACACAATACACCAAGATTTCATTATACACAAATCAAAACTTACGTGCTTTGTTGGTTGCAAGTTACAAATGACGAGGCGCCCTCCAAACTTCTTTGTGTAGAGTGGAAGATTCCCACTTGGAACAATTTGCAGTGTTGTTCCAAAACAGATGCTAAGATCAGCAACACTGATACAAAAATTGTAATGAGCAAAAACATTTCACAGATTAAAATATTACTAATTGTACAAACTAATCACTTCATACATACGCTCAGAATCTTACCATGAATGGAAATCTGCCATCCCTAAGTCATTCTCTGGCAAGTTGTCTTCCCAGTCAAGGATGGTATCATGCAGTCTTCCACGACAAGGTCTTCCATTACGTCTAGAAGCTGGACATGGTGTTTCAAGACACTTCTGACCAACTGTGGAAGTAGCCTCTTTTCTCACAAACTGACAACCACACTGATTACACCGTTCAGTGAACATGTTGCCATGCAATTCAGCAATGTCAGTGCGTTGCAGTCCTGAACGTAAATGTAAACCGTCTATGTTCTGGCTCACCACATATTGCACCTTTCCTGCATATAAACGGTTCAAAATATATTACATACCACCTTGTTATTTGCCAGAGCGTGACAACAGTGTTTTGGTGTCATGAGTACTACAATTTGCATAAAAAAACACTTCTAGAGAAACTCTACATGATCGGTTATTTTGGACAAATGGAACACATAACTATACATTCTTAACAAATAATGGGAAGAATTTAATCTGGTGCAAACCAGTTTGAATAGTTGTTTCTTGTATAATGATGTCCTGGATGGTTCAGTAAGCCTAACTCCATCTTAAATCATTAAAACAAAGTACCAAAAACTCACTTTCTCTTTAATGTACAGCTGTTATTTAACTTATGAACTAGCACCACCACCCTTGTTTACTTGACAGAATCTAAGAACAATTCAATCAATTAACAGTTTCATCCCTAATGCAACTCACCACTTTCAACAAGTTTCACAATTGCCATGTGAGTTTTTGTTGGCGCTGCCACATCAAATGAGATGTTAATATCCGGTTTTAACCCTTTCTCTTCTAATGTCCACACTCCATTAGGCCCCCTTAAAAAAGAGAAATATTTGTCTGAATATGGAGACAATTTACAATGCAAATTATTTCAACAAGCTACACATACAAAAAATGCATGGTGTCCCCCTCATGATTTACCTCTGGCTGATACTGTTCCATTACATTTTTCAACCAAATACCCATGTTCGATTTTTACTTGACAATTAAAATTGCTGAAAGATATAAATGTAGCAAAGGTCAGATTTTGCACATAAATGAAATGTTTTACCAACTGCTATGCTGCATTACCAAAGAACTAGGCCTACCTATAAGCATTAGGTCATCTGCTTCAAGCCACATCACCATCTTGCAGATCTTGTGATATGCAGCCAAAGTGGAAACAGCTTCATCATATGGCAAGAGGATGATATGCATAGTTTATTATTCTTAATAATTTCCTTATACAAAATTTTAATAATTTCTTGGAGTTTAAAACATAAACTGGGTATGTGGGAGAATAGGTGGAATAAGCTTTGACACAGATAAAATTACTATCCCACATTTCAACCTGAACAAATCATTTCACATTTGTAAGACCTAAAAAATGAACACACAGATGCCTTTAAAAATAGGGAGGAAGATTTTCTCACCTAAAATCGG